AAAAGCTGAAGTACCCAGAATTTGCATATATTTCAAAGGGGAAAAAAAAACTTTTTTTTTTGCAAAAGATTGATTGCAACGTTCAAAAATTTACTGTAAAATATCGACCAATTGTCAATATATGTTCCCTCCATCTTTTCTGATTTCATTTAAACTTAAACAAGCCTTTAGTTCAGAAAAAGCAGTACCCCTACATCCTATTCCTAAACTTCAAAAGTCCACACACATTTGCGTCAAGAACAAGTTTCAAGATAATATAAAATTGCCTCTCTTTTTTTAAGAAGAAGCAGGGGATAAATAGAAGATTAAATTTTTTTTTAAAAAAATAGGATTGAGATTAATGATTTGATTTGTGCCTATTTGAAGTTTCCTGCAATTAAAGTCAATACCATCACTGATATTTTGTAGAAAAAATAAAACAAGAGCAGAAACAATGAATATTAAGTAGGTTTAAATTAAATGCAGAAGATTTTTCTGTTTCTTGCTTTTTTTTCCATTTTGCAATTTCATTTGTACAAACTTTTCTTACGTACGTTTATATTATGGTGCAGGATTTTTTAAGAGTATTTTTATAAACATTTTTATATCACTACTTCACTCTGAAAATAACTTCTTGAAAATATTTTTTTGTTTGCCATAAGCTGAAACTTTAAATGCACTTTGCACATCTAGTAGACTCTTATGTAACTTTAAAAAAAATTTTTTTTAATAGAATATAAAATTGCTAAACGTAAATAAAAAATATATTATTGGCACAGTATTTTTTACATGGATTTTCTGATATAGGTATAACCTATATATGATTTAGGTATAACCCTTTAAAATTGAAATGCCTTTTTTAAGTTTATTTAAAAAAAACTAAATTGACTTAAAAATACATTAAAGTTATCTTTAATTGTTTATTTTATAAGTGAAGCACTAATTAGAAAACAAGGCAATTAAAATTTTAATTTCTTTACACAACTGCTCAGGTAAAAACATTTTTTCTCTTCTTTTACACATAAAAATAATTTAATCAAGTATATAATTTAAAGAAAACATTTTTCACTTTTATTATTATGCATTAAGCACATAGGTTTAACTTAAAGACTTAACCCAAAACTTTCAACACAAACTATTTCTATTATTTGCTTTTAAATTTATATTGAAAACTAAGCATTTAGAACTAATGAATTTGTTTTAATATAGATGATTTGAACAACTTACCTGGAAAGCCGCATTCAGAACAAAAAGAATTTCAATCAGTTAATATGTTCAAAATGATTCTTTTAGAAATACATTTCACACATTATAGCATCAGTTCAAACCAAATGCTTTTTAAAAAAATTGACCTTATAAAAATTCCTTTTACCAGTTCAGAACAACTATACTAAACTCCCTCAATTGCAATAAAATCCTTAGATAGCAGCGATGTGCTCAACTGCAATAAGATCCTTAGATAGCAGCAATGTGATAACACAAGAGTAAAAATTGGAATTTAAATTTAAATAAAGTACACAATGCCTTACTTTACTAGTTACTGACTCAACAATACTGATAACCGCAAGAAAAAAACAGAATTTAAAAAAAAAAAAAAAGAATAAAGAAATATAAGAAAAATTTAGCCTTGGAAATTAACAAAATGAAAACTACACAGAAGAAAAAACAAAAAAGTAAGATACCCAATAAAGGGTAAAAATACAAAGGAAGTATGCATTTTATCATCTTAACACATACCTTTAAAATACCAGAGAATAATTCTTTTTTTTTCCGAACTATTCATTAAATTTGAATTTTAAAATTTTTTTTAAAAATGCCAAAAATATAAAATGACTGTTTTGTTCAATAACAGTTAAAATTTTGTTATACATGAAATTAAATTTGTTCTTACATTGATAATATACAAGAATTTAATAAGTTGAAAATATTTATAATTAGACTGCATAAAACGATTCTGTAACTGAGTAACAATGCATTTGCAATATATAAATAATTTGAGAATAAACAAAAGTTTGTTAAAAGAATTAAAATAAAAAACTTCAATAAATATGCAATTTTTAAATGTGTGTGTGAATGCTATCACTCACATTACATTATTATTTGCTCAATTATGTTGAGGTACACCAAAAAATATGAGAGAAGAAATGAATACGAATATAGCGAAATATCAAAGAACAGTGTGTATGAATCGTAGTGGAATTTCAGTTTATACTAGGGTATTCCTTTTAGGTTGAATAACTTTTGTTGCTCATTATACTTCAAAAGTTTAAACATAGTTGTTTCTATGTTAATTTAATAAAATAAAAATGGAAAAAAATATTTGCAGGCAGAATGTACACAAAATTATAAACAGAAAAATCGGATATGAATAGAAATCTAAAACGCATAATATTTGTTTTACTTACTTTTTTTTTAAATATTTTTAAAAATTTTTTTTTTAATATTTTTAAAAATTAAAGAGACTAAGTCCATTTAATTTTTTTTTTTTTAAAAAAAAAACTCAATTGCAGCTATTCTTTTAGATATTTGATTAATTAGGATTTAGTTTGATCTCATAAGCAATCATGCAAAATAAGTAACTTACAGCTAAACTTTAAAACGAATGAAAACAGCTTACTTTCAACATCTTCAATGCATTGTGCACCACATACTAATGTGTTTTAAATGTAAACTAGATTAAGAAAAACATTAAGAAAGGCTAAGTACGCCTATCCGTGAGGGTTTAATCTCCATTAAACCAAAAAATATTTGATATGTTAATGTTAAGAAGTGGAAAATCACACATTATGTAAAAAGACTATCAATTATTTCATACTTAAGCTTGAGCTTCATACTATCTTTTGACAACCATCCTCATTATCATTTCAGGGATGAAATTACTTTATATGGGAAAATCAGTTTTTTTCCCTTTCTTTTCTGATTTAAAACTATCTTAATACTTTAAATAATGAGTTCAAAGTTTGATGACCAGGAAAAATAATTTAACACTCAAATTTCGGGACTACCCTAATTAATACACTACAAGTGCCCAGAAAACATCCAAAGCATTATTCTCTTTTCAAGATGGTTAAACTCAAAACTCAAAAACATTTTCGCTGATTAATTTTTCATTTTAATACTATGTTTAAAATAACATTTTTTGATAGGAGTATTAATGTTAATAACAATTTTCTCGCCTAATTGAAAAATTGTAGGTGGAGCTGGTTTAGCTACATCCTTCAAAAAGAAAGGCTTAATTTAAAAAAAATTTATTGTCACCAATTTGATCTGTATTGCTTTGGAAAAAATAAAATTTACAGTTCCCTAGTAGTATCTATAGTAAATGAACTCATTGAAAGTTCTGATTTGTTTCATCATCTAAAAAAACCAGAACATGTTTAATTTTTCTGCCATTAAAATGGTCTAACACCTTTAAATGTTCTTCATTTAGCAATTTTTAAGATAGTTCCAAGCAAAATTGCTGTGAGCTAGATATTTTGTATAGTCCTACGTCTTTTACACACATTTTCTTGCTCCATATTTAGGATTGAACATTATAAGACATTGATTGTTGTCAGAACACCATGCTTGTACTACAACACAATGTTAAAGTTTATAAAATCACTCATCTGTAAACATGAATAAGACTGCAAAGCCATGTTAACTATAGTTATTTTACAAACTCAGAAATTAGAAGGACAGTACCAAACTAAAGGCAAACCAGAAAACAGTACAAAATCAGAAGAATAGTTACTGCAGATAATCTATTACAACACCTCACAAGTAGTTTTAGGAGTTAAGCAGCATTAAGGTTATTTCTTTGGCAACATCATATATCAGAAAAGTTTTCAACACAAATGAAAATTTAAGATGTTGCACAGACTCAGAACAGTGCAACATATGAAATGAACTGTTTCTTTTTTTATTATGATATGTAATATATTTGTTTGTGATAATGTCAATACAACAAAATTACCCTATGAAAATGTTCAAATAGTTACACAAACATAGTCAATTCTCTAGAGCTTGATATAAGATAATTTGATCTTCTCTAATATCCAGACCCTCTTTTTTAAGTTCATGTCAATTATTCTCGGCTATTTTTTTTTAAACCACATATAACTCAATTTAAAAAAATGATTTGATCTTAGAAAAAAAGCAACAAAAATTAACCACAACTAATGAGGTAAGAACTTCTTGTCCTTTCACTTGCAATCAATTCACAATATATTCACCAGGTTAGAACGACTTGAGTTAGTATAACAGATAATGCCAGTGAAATTTGATTTTTAAGTTTGTAGTATTTGCATTATTTGCACAAATACAGTGCATTGGAATGCAATATTGAAACAAATGCATTTCTTTTAGTCCCACCATGTTCTGGATGAGCTTCGTGTTCAACATCAACATTTGCTGTTAGAAATTGTATGGAAGGGGTGGCTAAAGACATCTAAACAATAGCTATAACTGTTAACTTGGAAAATAGAATTACAATCATAAAGAAAGAAAGATTGAAGCAGAAGCATTGAAGAAGTATGGTATTCCACCAAATACTCTTTTCATGATATTAAGAAAAAACGTCTTTTAATTTATATCTATGAAACTTGTTGTCAAAAAAAGAAAGGAGTTGTTCTAATTAGAATGAGCTCTATTTGTATTGCCTTTTACAAAAATTTAGAAAATCAGTAAACAATAAGTATTAAAAATGTAATAACTGTTTTTATTTTTAAGTCTAAAACTTAAACTGACAATATGTTTTACTTTTGACTAAACATTTTTAAACTAAACATTTTTGCAGGAGCATCAATTTAAAAAGCTGCTGCACAATGCATTATTTAAATTCAAGTATGAGAAAAACTTTCAACCCTTTAAAAAAATTGCATTAGTATGAAATAAACAAATTTATATGACTATTAAGAAACTATATATCTACCCTGATTCAATAGTTATGGAAGATGAATCTTGCTGAACAAATGTAAAAAACAGATTACTATTCAACGATTTTAAAACACTTTGTACTATCTATAAAAAATTATACTTACTTTTCCTATTACTCCTCTGCAGTTAATAGAATTGCAGTAACACACTTGCAGTATGTCATATTTCTCCGACTGATAGTCGAATGTGAGTTCTTCCCCTGAAAATAAACATATTGACTTAAGTAATTTCAGGTACAAACAAATGAACTTTTTGTCAAAATTTATTCCGCCCTATTTACAGTTTTTTTTTTAAATTGCTATTTTTCCTGACTATTCCCTGCTTTTTAAGTGGCAAAATAGAATTCCCTGTCCTGACAATTCCAGGTTTTTGCTCTTCTGCTTGACCCGTGGGATCCCTGCTTAATATGAAAAAAAAAAAAAACTTTTTAAACTTTTAAAACCCAAAATAAAACCTATTAAAAAGAGAATATTATGAGGCGTTTTCAGATCGCAAAGATACTTCCCTGATAGCAGCAAGGGAAAAGTTTCTGTGAGTCTATTAGGAGCATGGACAGTAACTTCAAACATTTTGTTTTTATGTTGAAATAATTTGTTACTTGTACGGTGACCTTTGTTTCAGCAGCGCGTCTTTGTAATGCCTGTGTCAATTCAGAATCCCGCTAAATGCGTTCAGCAATACGTTTTCTTCATGCAAATTGCGAGCACCAAGTGGTTTTTCATAATGATATTCTTTCATCTACAGAATCAGTATGGAATCATTTATACAGAAACCATATAAATATTCATGACGAAATCAGAACAGTTAGACTATCTGTGATTACTGATGCCCTGCTTCAAAGAACAGAGGAAGCAATTTGAGCAAATGGGCACCAAACATTAAAAAATTTGTATAAAATGAAGCCAGAAATGTCTATTACAACTATTCATAAAGCTGTGACTCTTACTTTAGGGTACCAGAAATTGTGTACTAGGTATTGAAAATGTTAATTGAAGAACACAAAAAGAAAAGGATGGGCTCTGCACCTAACTTCCTCATGCATTATACAGAAGCAGGAGATGAGTTTCTTAATACAATTGTTACTGGTGATGAGACATGGGTTTATTACCACACACCAGTACTCAAACAATTCATGCAAAAATGCCACATGAATTCTTCAAGAGCTAAAAAAATTCTAAACATCCATTTCTAAAAAGAAAAAAATCATGGCTTCATTTTTCTGGGACAGACAAGGGCTTCTTGTTGACTTCAAGCCTTTCGGCATCACAATTAATACAGATGCATATTGCTAGAATTTGAGACATCTCAGACAGGCAATTAAAAATAAATGCAGGGGCTTGCTGACAAGCTGAGTTTTCTTGTAGCATGATTACACTCATCCTGACACAAAGCTTCAAACCAAAGCACAACTCAAAAGTTACAAAAAGATAATTTTAGATCTGCTTTACAGCTCAGACCCTGCACTCAGCAACTTTCACTTATTTCTTCACCTGAAAAAAAATCATGCAGGGTAAAACGTTCAGAACAACGAAATCAAAACTGAAATTAAAATTTAGTTTCGACAACAGGGGGCAAAGTTATATGATGTAGAATACATAAGCTAGCAACCAGGGTTAACAATGACAGCAACTATGTCAAAAAAATAAGGCGTGTACCAGTAAGTATTTTGTAATGTATATTTAATCAATTAAAAATTGCTTAAGTGAGTATACGGCTCTATATCTTTACTTTTTGGAAATGCTTCATGCATCTTTAATGTGTAAAAAGAAGTTGAAATCAAAATAAATAAGTAATAAAAATTTATCAACTATTTCTCAGATTCCACATATATACTAATGGATCGAAAATGCTTGTCAAAGTAGGTGCTGGTATATATTCAGAACTTTTTGCATTCTACATCTCCCTTGGGTTTTTCTTTTTTTGAACCAATTTTGAAGAACTAAAGAGAATTAGAATATTACCTGAACAGATTACTGTAAGAACAATTTAGTTCAAAAAACTAAAATACATTTTAGAAATAGAGTAAGTAAAAATTTTAAATCAGTAATAAAAAACTAAAAAAAAAACCCCAAAGAAGCATACTTATCAAAAAATTTAAAACTTGATTAAGAGACTAAATTTAATAATTAAAAAAAATTTTTAATGTAAATAAAGAAAACCTACCAGGACTAATCTCTTTCAGGGCAAATATTCCAACCCTGGAGTCACCACAAACTTCCCATTTTTCCATAATGCAATTAGGATCACAAGAGTGATTGATAAAACGTGCATAATTTCCCATGGGTCTGGCATCTATCATTCTTCTATTATCCAAGTATAAAAAATAGAAATCAGAGCTCTTTTGTGCTTGCAGTTCACCGGATCGTTTACGATATTCATCATGTGAAATGATTTCCCCTACATATTCCATAACAAAATCACCCTGCAATTATAAACAAGAATTTAATTTGAGAAGAAAATTTATTCAGTTAAAAAATTATTAAGCAAAAACTTAAGTGGTGAATGTTTGAAATCCAGTGCATAATTAAATTACATTGAACTCTTGTTTATCTATAAGTCATCTACCCATTTTGCAGACTTTTAACTGAAATGCTAACTTTTAAGAAGGAGCAATAAACATGATCAAAGCTGATATGTGAATCATATTGGAAAAAAAAAAACTATGTCCTACTTAAAATTATACATTTCCAAAAACAACTGCTTTAACTCTAAGTATCTCATCAAAACAATATTTTAATTCTGTTTTGAAAATGCTTCTTAAATCAGGTTTCTCGCTAAATTCAAACTCAAGGAAAGTATAAAAATAAAAAAATTACATAAAATAATTGTGAATTTATTTTACGTATTGATACATTTTTTTCACCTTTATCCATAAGCTTAATAATTTTGACCTTTCTTTTATCAAATAAAACTCAAGATATTTTAAATAACTGAATGAAAAGCACACTTTAAAAAAAAAAAAGATACGGGCCAGGAATGAGCTTTTTTGTATATGGCTACGAAACAGGAAATGCTTCTGCAACCACACAGATACTTCTCTGACACTAGTCGAACTTCCTCAAAATTCTTTTCCTTTCATCTGGAAACAAGGAATGGAAAAATCTCACAAATATGTTCAGCAATAATTATGTACCAAAAATTCTTTAAGTTTTAAAAACTGATAGTATATAGTGTAATTCTTTTTTTGTAGTTTTCATTATTTCTGATAGTATCCCATGCTTCCCTAAACTATTTCCTTAATTAAAACTGTTAAAAAGCATGATCAGATGCCATCAATGGACACATATTTTTTGATAAATTTTAAATTTTATTTAGAGATGTGAGTGAAAAACAATAAGAGTTTTACGTTTTTATTAAAAGAAATTCAGACTGCAGGTTTCATAGAGGGGCAAAGAAAAATCAGGACAGATTTTGGAACAGTTTTCACTCACTGTAAAAATAAATCTCGTAAAATTTTGTTTTTAACTGTTGTATGGTTAGATTGTGCAAAGCTGTAAAACTGAATCGGTAGCCTCAGTGGTTTTTTACCATAAAAGAAGAAATTTTTTAGGTAGAACTTATAATGCAAATCCACAGTCACAACAGCTTCAACTAGTTAATATTCTCTCCATACCAATATAAAACACAGTTGTAACCTCATACCAATTGTAAACCAGATCAAGATTTCTTTTAACAAATAATTTTAAAATAAGGTTTCAATAATCTTGAAACAAAAACATAGTAAATATGCTGCTTCATTTCATCATTTAAAATATTTTGATATTACTGTGTTGTTGATTAGAATCAATCATTTTTAAAAATCAGGGGAAAGAGACCGATAATAAATTGTGAAACTACAAAACTTTATCTTACAGGATTTTTTTTTCCTGCATTTGCTCAAAGCATATCCCCCTTAAAATTTGGCATTGTAAAATTGATAATCGAGTTTCCTTTTGATAATGACTTGATTCCCAATTGATAATGACTTTATTTCCAAAGAGGTTAAAACAATAAATCCTATGTGTAAGGCTTAATGCCTGAACCCTATATATAATCAGTAGACGGTTCCTAAATTGGAGCTATTGAATTTTGTGATTTCCACAAGGATTATTAATTAAATAAAAAGATATTGGATCAAAAATACAGAACTTATGATTCTTCAAATTGACTTTTTAAAAATCTGCATTTGGTTTTCTTAGATACTGAAAAAAAAAATTCATAATATGTACAAGTGCAAACAGAAGCATGAAATTACATGTTTTTCAAGATTTTCTGGGCAATTAAGTTTTCAGGTCAAATTAATTTTTAGTAGAATTTCATTTTCTGACTTTTTCTGGTTTTTGTGATATTTCAGAAGCGTACAAATCTGGAACAAATCACCTTCATATAGATTTGATTTTTTACACCTTCTAAAATTAGAAAATAAGGGAACACCACCGCAATTAAATCTTGTAAGTTTTAAAAATTAGGAAATTAAATCAATTCTTTTAGTCCAGAAATGATTTGAGAATCCTAATAATCTTGAAACAACAAATCGAATCAATTGATACTGGATTATGGCTCTGAAAAATAGGTGTTTTATTATGTAATAGAAAAAGCAAGAAATAATGTACTATTTTGTTTTTCAAGGATTAGAAAATAAGGAACTTTCTTTAAGAAAGTGAAATTTCTGAATTTTGATACTTTTTTAATCAGTACTTTTATAAATTATTTTCTTTTACCCCAAAAAATTTTTGGGTAGAAAAAAATATTTTTGAAAAAGGGAAATATTTTTATTTTTCACTTGAAGATATTAACATGGGATGAAACTTGAAAGATTTCCATCTGAATAGAAAGAGCCTGTCTAATAGAATTTTTTTTCTCTGTGTGTTGAAATTAAGGGTAAAGATGGGAAACAGATTATTTTGAAAAATTAACTTCGTTAGGACAGTAATTCAAGTAAGAGTTTAAAAGTCTAACTCAAACAATTATATATGGATGGTGTTATCAATATAAATGTAAGAAACAACAGTCTTGAGCTCTTGACCAGCTCGACTTCCGGTTAGAAAGTATGCAGCTGCTCATTACAGCTTACGAGGCGATATTTTCAAACATATAATTTTGTTTTTAATAAAAGGGAAAAAATTATATAATTTCTGAGCTCAAATCTGCTGTAGTTCATAAGATATTTAGTAATTCTGGTGAGTTTGAAGTGAAAATTTGTTTTAGTTATTTAGAGATGTACAGTTAAAAAGGTGACATGGTTGCTAGATTAAAAAGAACTCGCTTTTTTGGCAGTTCATAATTGGTCTCTTTTTACTTGTTTATTACTGTTTGTTCTTGTTGCAAGCCGTGCACCATCATGCGTTAGTGACAACATATTGCTCGGGCAGCGAGATAAAATTCATTTTGCAAATTATTAGTTTGGTTTAAATTTTGAAGTTGGTGTATTGTTTTATAACAATTCTTTTTTCAATTGAAAATTCTTGCATTTTGAAATGACAGGTCTTTAAATGTGGATTCTTATAACGAATCTTCTTTTAAACAGAAATAATAACTCAGGTAACAAATACATGTATACAAGAAATACTACTCAAGAGAGTCTCAAAACACAATGATCACGTTGCGAGCTAAATGGCTTGAAAACACACCAAAAGCAGTAACTCGAAAATATAGGCAATCAAGATCTTGCAACTATCCCTAGTGTGCACCATCATGTGTTAGTGTTAGCATATTGTTCGGCAGCGAGATTAAGTTTATTCTAAAAATTATTAGTTTGGTTTAAATTTCGAAGTTTGTATATTGTTTTATAACAATTATTTTTCAATTGAAAATTCTTGCGATTTGAAATGGCATGTCTTTAAATGTGGATTCTTATAACGATTCTTCTTTTAAACACAAATAATAATTCAGGTAACAAATACATATATACAAGAAATACTACTCAAGAGTCTCAAAACACAATGATCACGTTGCGAGCTAAATGGCTTGAAAACACACCAAAGGCAGTAACCCGGAGTCAAGAGCTTGCAACTATCCCTAGTGTAGAAAACACTATCCATACATACAAGTTTTAAAAATATTGTTGCATAAAATAATAATTAATTTCAAATTATGTCCTTCTTTCCTTTGCCATCCAGAATATGAATTGGATAGCATAAAAATGAATTGTGCTCAGTATTTCCTAATCCATAAATCTGTGATGAAAACTTGTATGACTAACAGGAATAAAAATGCAAAATGTAAAACTAAGAGGAATAAAGCAGGAAGAATAAATTATGTAAAAACAGTAAAGCTATCATATGATTTCATATTCCTTTATTACATTATTGTGTTTATAGGAAGTAAAAATATTTTTCTCTAAAGTACAAAAAAAAAAAAACTAGAGGGTATTATGAAGCTTTGCAACTGAGGAAATCCTATGAGAAATATGTTTTAAGTTTTTGAACAGTCACTATCAAAAAATTTAACTTCAAATAAATATTTTAGAACTGTAGCTATTAAAAGAATAATGAAAGAAAGAAGAAATGAAAGGGGTATAAAATAGGCAATAATCTTAAAAATTTAAAATCTAAAGAGTAATTCACTCAAACTACTCGCCATCAGATAAAATTCAGTGATTTTAATGTTTCAAGACTTATTGTCTTTAAACCATATTTGATGTTCTATAATTAAAATGGAATTACAACTTGAGTCAATAATACTTCAAAACAATTAATTGCTAACGTAAAACATTATTTAACCTCAGATAAAATAAGTTAAGAGAGAAAATGATTGACTAAAAATGTATAGCCAAATTTTTCAACAAAAAAAAGCAACTTTTAAGCACTTAAAAATATTTTTAATCACTTTAACACTTTTTTTTCTTTAAAATCATAATTAGGATCAGCACTAATAAGAATTTCTTTTCTTATTGTTGTAAGTTCTCCACAGATATAAATAAGTAACATGCAAAATAATTACCAAAGACTTTACATGATTATGGGAAAATAATTAGTTTCTGACAAAAAACTCTTTTCTTGATTACATAAGCCACTATAAAAACAATTTATGCTCAATTTTAAATATAATCAATATTGAGTGGTTCACTCTATTTTTAAATTAATAATTGCTTTAACTAATTAAAAAATTTATCGAGTGTATTTTTTTAGATTCAAAAAGTTATTTATATACAGTACAGAACCCGTTATCCGGAATTCAGAAAACCGGAACAAAATTCGATTAATTTTCCCGGCATTTTTTTAAAAAAAAATAATAATTTTTTCCTCATAAGGTTTTAGGATTTTTCTTTCTTTTTTGAAAGATTTTTACCTTACCATCATTTTGGAAATAATCATTAGTGTATTATTTCATCGTTTTTTCTTCTTTTTAACATTATTTCCAAATTTTTTTTTTTTGTTGGGTTTAACAATAAAAAAAACGGCTTTTTGTAGCGATTCAGAAAACCGGAAAAATCAGTTATCCGGAATAGCGATGGTCCTGATTGTTCCGGATAATCGGCTCCCTACTGTATCTAACAAAACATTAACAAGATTAATGTTATTTATAAAGATATGTAAAAAATTAAGCAAACTGAAAAAAAGTTAATGAATTAACGATTCTTATTAATCTAACTGTAAAATAGTGAATGGCCCGATTAAATTTTTATTAAAATTTGTTACTTGGTTAAATATTTCTTTAATGGAATGATTAAAAATATTTGAATAATTTTGAAATTAAAATACAAGTATTAAAATTAAACTTTTTTGTCAGAAGTAAATTATTATATGGTCCCTACACTCTTATGGTACTGATCTACAAACACAAGAGTGCGAGGCCAGTGGCTTGCCAGTAACGAAAACGATGGCACTTTACCAACGATAAAATTAACAAGAGAAATAAAAATTTCTTTTGCTATTAGGGGAAAAAAATTGGCAATGTTTAGTTGGTCCCTATCATCAGCAAAAAATTAGATTTTTTGATTCTAGAGGGCAAAAAATGACATCTGAAGTTGAGAATCTCTTGCAAAATGTACCAGAGTTGAACCACATGAGAACACAAGAATCCTTTCCTCCAAATATTTCAGCAAACATGTCAAATGATTGGCGCTTTCATACATTACGGATCGAATGTGATTGAATGGATAGTGAAAATATTGAATGAACAATGTGAAATTCGAGATGAAAATTGACATGGTAAAAAAAAAAATCACATTGTGAAAAGAGGAACATAAGTACTTTTTAAAAACACATACTGAAAAAAGCACATTTAAAAGCTTTCATAAACAAAAATCGGAAACAAGCACCTTTAAACACTTTTTAAAAACGCTAAGCACTATGTATTTATTAGTATCAGTACCAAATTTGAAACATAAATGCTATGTTATCTTAGAATAAAAAAAGAGAACAAGAGAAAAACTTTACTTTTTGAATATTTTCTGTAGCTGCTAACCCCCAACCTCGTGAATTAGTTTTAATTATTTTAGTTTTTTTGTACTGTCTTTTTTGAAATCGCTGATTTTGGCACAAATCACCAGCTAGGCAGTTTTTTGGAACACATTCCATTAGTACAGATCTATTTATGCAGTCATTTGTGCCACATGGATTTGAATCAGTACTTTTACAGAAACATTGAACTACATCTATTTCTTTAGCTGAGACAACTGGGAAGGTTTTCGAAAGTCTGTTCACCTACAAAGAGACATTATATTATTAAAAGTTACAAAAAAACATTCTCTTGAAAACAGTTATAATTTTAGAGTTGTGAATGAAGTTAGCATATGAAATAATAACTTTACTAGCCAAACTTATACAGTATCCTTAAAAACTAAAATATGCAAAGATATCTTAGAAAAAAATTAACAGGTTCTATAAATTACTAATATTTAATAGTAATTTTGTTTTTTGTATATTTATGTTTCGATTTGAAGGCGATAATTTATCTGCATCTACACCTAAACAAGGTTAAAATAAATAACAAATAAGAAATTTGATGATTCATTTTACAATTGCAAATTGTAAATAAAAAGGGTTTTTTTTTTGTGATTCCATTCAATAATCCCTGCAAAAAAATTTGTAATTTTATGTTAGCTATGGAATGTGGAAGTTTTAATAACTTTAAGCAGAAAACCTTTTAAGAACTGTTCTTAAACCCTGGAATTAATTGTTTTACAATTGAAGCATAATTTCATTACTTTGTTGTTACTTCTACAGTAGGGAACCGATTATCCGGAACGATCGGGACCATCGCTATTCCGGATTTCTGAATCGCTACAAAAAGCCGTTCTTTTACTGTTATGCGCAACTAAAAAAAATTTCATATTTGGAAATAATCGTGAAAAGAAGAAAAAATTATGAAGTAATACACTAATAATTATTTCCAAAATAATGGTAAGGTGAACATCTTTCAAAAAAGAAAGAAAAATCCTAAAATCTTAAGAGGAAAAAAAAATTTTAAAACTGCGGGAAAATTTATCAAATTTCATTCCGGTTTTTTGGTTTTCCGGTTTTCTGATTTCCGGATAACGGATTTTGTACTGTATTTTGTTTATGTTATTTACAACTATTTTTTAAACACAGATTTATTATAAAATTGGAGAAAATATGTTAATAATTTATCACATTTGAATTGTTTTTCTAATTCATGGAAATTGCAATATTATAAATTTATCTTGATTTTAAAAACATAAATAATAATAAAATAACAGATATTATACAAGATTACATAGATTAGTGACATCAATTTAATCATGTAAATTTAAATATAGATAGCTTAAAAAGCTTGTTAAAAATATTGATTAATGCATCTGCATTGTGACAATGTTGTATTTTTTATATAAATGAATAAAATTAATCATGCATTTCCTAAATGTTTTTTTTTTTTTTGGTTGATCCTTTTAAAAATCAAATTCAATTGAATATAATGTGAAAACTTACTAAGTTTGTTCCTCTAATAAAAACACATAATCAGCACTGTTTATTATAGAGAGAAAGAAGCTACATATTAATAGTCTATACTGACTGCCAAGTTGCAATACATTGTTTTAAATTTTTCTTATTGTATCAAATTATTTAGTATTACCCATTTTTATATGATTAAAATATTGCAGTTTATAATGAAATTGAGAACTAGATCAACCTATTGGAATTCTATTTGTTTAAATACTAGATTTAGAGAAAACAGCTAAATTAAAACGAATGTACATAAATTTTTGAATTCAGACGATAGATTTCTTTAATTTGACAATTAGTTACCAAAATATATTCGACACCTACTACATCGTCATTAATATGATGTGGTACTTATCAATGCATTATCTCTTTCTGAAATAGACTGACAGCTACATGCTTTTGCCACCTTTTAATTTATTCAAAATAAAAAAATGCAGGATGAGTCATACACATCAAATGCCATTGAATTATTACTTCATTTACAATAAAAGTTGTTTTTATAAGTGTATGACACCAATAACAAACAAATTCTAATTTAATCCTATCAATCAGGGTAGCATTTAAAAACTGTCATGCTTATTTCTGACAGTAACATAACTTATTAAAATTGCAATAATTTTTAATTATGCAATTTTTAACCAACCACTTTAAATTTTGAAAAATTAAGATAAAGCAAATCGCTTTATCTTAATGATTCGTCACAAATGACATATTTGTAAATAAATACCAATAATAATAATAAAGTTGATTCCATCTTATCCATCCAAAGATGATCTATCCTGAAGGTCAAGTTTATCCCCACTTACAGCGCTGGAAGTCAACTTTATTATTTTTATTCTCAGAAACATACGATTTCAAAACTGGGTTATTATATATTTGTAACTGGGTTATTATAAATTAATTATAAAAGAAGTAATGATTAACGATCACTTTATGCTTTATCTTTGGGAAAAACATTATTTATTTACTTTACATTATTTATTACTTTATTTTTTAAATTATTTTAAAAGTGTTCTGCTGTTTATCATTTGATGGACTGAAATTTTAAAAATTTAAAATTAGTAAAAAGAAATGGGATGTGTTTGAAATTATTTTGTGTTGTTCAATTTCGCAGTAAACATGATTTAATTTACTTTATTTAATTATTAATATTTTTTTGAATTATTGTACGGGGTTTTAGCTGTTAAATTACATAATTTAATAATATTCAGGTGTTTCCAATCAAATTATGATAAAGCATGTGATGTGATTGTTCTATATAGTACAATTTCGCACCTAGTAAGATTCTTTTAATCAATTTATTGTATTTTGATAACTTATATTTAGGTTCCTAATCACTTGGTTTAAATAAAATTCGATTATTTTAAATTCATATTTATTAGTGTAAGCCATTTGCTACTGTATAGCATTTGAATTGCGCACAATTGTTCATAGTACAATTTCGCATATATTTGAGAAGTTAGGATGAAAATGATCAAAATACATAATTTTTCATTTGATCAAAATACATAATTTCTCACTTCATACATAATTCCTCATTTTTCTCATTTTAATGATATATTTTAAGATTATAACTAAGATCATATATTAATTTATCGTAAATTTAATAATTATTTAAATGATTGGAATAAATATTTTTTAAATGTCTCATCATTTACTTAGCATACAACTTGTTACTTGAAATCCGTGATTGATCACACAGTAAAATTTTGTGTGGCATATACAATGGTGGGGCTTTTACGATAAAAAACTTTTCTACTTTTTAGTCAAATTTTATAAAATTTCTTTCTTCAAAATATCTTAAACTTATCATATGTGATAAATACAATTTATGCAGTTAATAAATTATGACTAAGACATTTTCAAGCAGTTACATAACCATTCAAAATGAAACAATGCTAATTAAAACAGATTATATTTAAATACCTTAATACTTTTGTATGATGGTGGCATGTCATTACAAGGGCTGACGGATTGTTTGTAAGCTCTATATAAATCAAATTCTACTCCTGCTTCAAGTAAAGCTAGAAGAATATATCAAAAGTTATATAAAATATGAAAGGCTAATAAAAAGTATGTAAGAAAATTTAAAGTCAATGCTTTTTATAATAATACAGTAATTATTGCTATGGCATGGGTGTTAATTTGTTAGTGTTTGGATATTAATTAACACACTACTCTATCAATTGCAAACATCACTTGCCACACAGTTAATAAACACAACCATTCTGCATCAGGGACAAATCTTTCAATAAAAAATTAGCACCTTTTAAGATAGGGATTTTAGAGACCACTCTCTATTCCACAGTAAAATGTTCGTCAATGGAGGTTGGTCGATCTTAGAAGTTACCTCTATTGACTTCAAAAGTTATCGAAGGTACATGATTTTTCACAAGCAATTTTAATTTTACTGAGTGCTGTTTTCCAGAGCTAAAAAGTGAGTAGAAGGACTAGGTCACTCCTTTGAGGAGACTCTTGCCACTCTGAGCTTTTGATTTCAATCAGTGATGTCACGATGGCGCAGCATCAACTTCTCGCTTTAAAAATAAATTGTTTCACATGTAACTACCATTTTTTTTAAAAAAACTTATTGCAATACATTCATTGTTTTCCTTATTTCAATTTTGAGATGATTTTTTTATCATCTGATTGTAAAAATTGGGAGGGTTACATTTTTGAAAATTATTACCACATAAAAAAGAAACGTAACTGTCTGTGTCTACCAAAAAAGAAACATTTGTTTTTCAGTCTCAAATGAAAAGGTGATGCAAAATTTGCGGCAAAGAATAAGTCGCCTCTGTCTTGGACTGGATGCAGAGTTATTTAAGTTCAGTGAAGAAGACTCAATAAGACTACCTACTTGCAGTTTAAACAATCATTACATTATGAACCAAATATGAAGATGTCTATCATACAAATGACTGTGAAAGAGAAAAAACAGACATGTGCATTAGGAAACTTTATGACATCTTAAGAAAAGTAAACAAGCTAGCATACCGCAGCTTGACGTAATGAACAATAATATGAACATTAGCAGTGGTAACACAACATCTGAGGTATTTATACATAAAACAGAAACGTCATGAACTGATTCATAATATCTTGAGCATTGTGCATGTCATTAAAATAAAGAAACGTTAACAATTTTAGTTGTATACTTCATTCTCCTTAAAATAAATAGTTAAAGACTTATACAAAAGGATACTCCTAAAGAAAGGTAAAAACCTTGAACTTTAATTTTACATTTGGATAAGCTAGGAAAAAGCATAATATAAGAGAAGATCTGACTTATTAATCAAACTATTTCCAACAATAGGCTCTCTAAGACGAGTCTGCCTAAAATCTTTAAGAACAATTAATTACTTTCCATTAATATGATTACAAAAACGATTCTTTAATTAATGGTTTAGTAGTATCTGATTTACTTATTTAAATACCCACCAGAGCATTATTGGTATGCCGCCAAATGCCCCGGATTATCCCTGCAGTGCACTTTTCCTAGATTTGCTCAAACAGTTTTGTCAAGACTTAGGACCGGCCATATAAAGTGTTTGACCTTCAGAGAGCCTATTGTCATTGCTCGGCCATCGCTTCTCCATCTCATCTTTTGGATTGCATTGGTGCCTCTGTGAGGCAACTGATGAGTGATGGAGAGACTGTCTATAACTTGCTGATGCGACATGATCTTCTGGACTTGGTCTAGGACTCTAGACCAAGGGGATAAGCAACAACAACAACTTATTTAAATGTTTATGTATTTAATATTTATTACAATATCCAAAACTAAATTTCTCAAAAAATGAAATTTTAAAATCTATATGCTGAGTCCTATGGTTCTCTACTGAAGAACTTGAAAAATTTATATCTATCTATATATTTATATCTATCTTTATATTTATATTAATTGTAAGTGGTACTGAACTTGAAGTTTTGCATCCACCCAATAATATATTTTTAATCCAAATTAGTTCATTTGCTGTTTCTGTCATTGCTACAGCCTCAATAGTGGATAAGCTCACACATTTCCGTTCTGTTGATCTCCAAGAAATTAGTACCCGATTATTAAAAATTATAATACTACTCATTGAGACTCAGTCATCACTCACTGAGACTGTCTATTTGTAGCAAAATCAGCATCTGAGAAACAATTTAAATTTAAGGCACTAATTTTATTTAAATGTAACAAATAATCTTTGGCGTCATTTAAATAGCCTAACAATTTAAGTAAGATGCTAAAGAGTTTAACACCAGGATCTTCTTGAAATTGCGATAACATGTTAACTGCATAACTCAAATCTTGTCTAGTTTAATTTGCAATAAATACCAACATTCTAGTAAAGCTTTTAAAAAACCTAAACCATACTAAGTTTTTAATTTTATCAGCAAAAAAACTCTTACTTTCAAAGAGATAGTTTAACTTATAAATAATTGTGCGGTTAAATTAGCACATTTTATAAACCGGTTTTAAATTAAATACTAAAATACAAAATTCGCCAACAACATCATATTAAAGATCTGAAAAGAATCGCACAGAAATAGTAAAAAAAGACACAAACATCTGCCGTTAAATTACGTAAGTTTACGATAGAATCGTTACGAACTGAGCTAGTCAAAAAGTTACTCCTTAAGTTTGAAATGCACGTTTGTCTTAATTACATCGTATAAAAATATCAGACTTAAAGAAAAAAGATAGAAATTACCGAAAACAATCGAAAAAGAGGTGGATTATTGTTGCGAATTGAACGCCTCAAAAAGTACCAATTCGAATTCAATCGCACGTCATAATAGTGTATTAGAAGATTAAAAACTTCTTTTTTTTAATTAAAAAAACAGAATAACGTATTTAAAAAAAAACAGAGTTTGAAAAACTATGTGGAAAGAGTCTAAAAAATTATAAATAAATAACAGGTGAAAAACAGTGAAGAACGCTGAAAAATGGTGATTCAAGAACATGAAATTTTGACAAGATTGTCACGAATCATGTCAAAAAGTTCAAATCAAATTCAAAATACTCACCTGGTAATAAAATAGCACTAAAAACATCGGAATTTGAATATCCATGTGAAAAAAGCATAAATATTATTAGTATAACTAAATAACCCGTAACTAAAAAAATAACTTGCGAAAGAACAATTATTAAACAACGTGAAATTATAATGGAATCGTCACAAATCAAACGTGGCAGGAAATGATACCTCAAATTCAAAATTCACAGGTCATAATAACATAGCATTTAAAATACCATAATTTCAAAAACTATGTGAAAAGAGGGGAAAAAATGACTTGCCGAAAATCTATTATACAACGATGTGAAATTAAGATCGAATTGTTTGCCGATTCTTCAACTAAACTGACATGTGAATGCTTTCTTTTGTGCTGGTCAGTTGAAATGTTGACGCAGTGGTTGCAGGTTGTAAAAGTTTGTTCTTTTTAATGGGCACTGAAGCTCTTAGGTAACAAATCTCATAATTTTTTGGAATATTTTTATTTTAAACAATTTATTTCTATTTGTAGAAAATAAAAGAGGATTTTATTATTTTTATTGAAAATTTGTCACTTATAGTTCAAGTAATATTCAAGCTCAAGATTGTTTTTGTTTTTTTAAACATGCAGCAAATCCAATGCCAGCCAGGCACTCTGTTAATATTAGCGATATCTTTGATCTATATTACGATATCTATCTATTTTTTATACTTGACCGGTCAACACTAATTTTCTGAAAAAATCCTACATCATTCTTCCTCATGTCTTTTATTATAATGGCCTTTTTTGACAGTTATTGTTACGAATTTTCACATTGTATTTAAAATGTTGATATTTAACAATCACATAAAAATGTTAAATAGCACAGATTAATTATAAATCACTTCACAACACTGAATTTACGATGATGCTATCAATAATCCCTGGTTTCTGACATGTTGATTGCTTTTTTTTTTTTTGCANTGGATTTTTTTTTTTTTTTTTTGCAGTTACTATGGATTTTCAGATGGTTTCAAAAATCGTGATGTTTCAAAGTGACCTTATAACATATTATGTACTGTGCAATTGAATAATCATGATTTGAAGCACTTGATTAGCGACCATTTCATCGTTAATGCACTGTCAAATCGCATTTTCAGCAGTTACATTAAAGATATTCACATGGCATGTTTTTAAAAAAATTTAGATTTTAATACAATATTAATTCGTCTGGTAAATTTCAAACCACAATTTGATAATTCACTTTCTTCCTCACATGATTTAAATCTGCAGTTTCCCGGATCATTGTGATATTGATTTTATGATAGTGGAAATCAAATAAAAATCATAAGAAAATCTAGTAAAAATCACAAAAAAGTGGAAATTTAGAGGAAAAACAGAAAATTCTCATCTCTTATTAAAAGTCTAAGTTTCAGAAAATACCTTTAGATATTTCAATGCATTTCTTCACACATTTCAACTTTCATTTAAACAATCTATGAAACAACAAAATTAGGAAGAAAAAAACTTTGCTTTTAATGATTTATAAAGGTGATTAATAATGAATAATTTTTATATAGCTTTCTACGTCTCTCTTTCCACTTTCTAAAACATATAACTGCCTCAAAGCTGTTCATTTGTCAGTTACGTTATGTTGGATGGCTAATTACAGAAAAGTATGCAAAATCGAGTTTTCAATGATTTTGAGACATAACTATGCTTTTCAGAAAAAAATAAAGAGTTCAGTCTGAGCAATCTATTTTGGTAATTTTTCAGGAGAATTTGAAGCAGTTGGTATGTCTGCCGATCACAAAAATCAGATAAGTTTTTTTTTTACAAGTTTTTTCAAAAATTGTTTGAAAAACTGAAGTCCCTTTCCGTATGAGCCAATTCAACCAATGAACTAATACTGTTATTGTAGAATTTTATAAAAATGAAGTAAACAGTTTAAGGGATCGATACTATAACAAGGTAAGTTCAGATGCACTATTAGTTGAAGTTTGCATTGTTGCACTGCAAAATGTATTGTTTTTTTCAACAATATTTACAACAAAATAGAAGACTGATCTAATATTTATCAGGGGTCTGTCCAGACATTTTGTGAAAGGTCCGTTTTTCATGAAATTGTGAAAAAATTACTCACATTCTTTCAACCAGGGTCCGCTTTTATGAAATTGTGTAAATAGGGTCCGGTTATTGCAAAAAAACTTTTGCAAAAAGTTTTTAAATTGTAAATAGATACAAGATTATGCTCCGCACTGTAAAATTATAATTAAAAAAATTAAATTTTCAAAAATAAACAGCAATTGCTGCTTTTAAATTAGAAATGCAACATACAAATATTTGGTATTTTGCCTATACTGCTGAACGCAGAATATTCATTTCGTACGAATAATGGACATCTGCCGAAGACAAAACTTAATTCCTTTACATCCATCTTTCTTGTTTTCTTCCCTGGGAAGGGTTTATTTGATTAACAAAACAATAATGAAGATTAACAAATTTGTGAAGGGTCCGTTTAAAAGAAAAATCATTTTGTGAAGGGTCCGTTTCTAAGTTAAAATATTTTGTGAAGGGCCCGTTTTTATGAAAAGATGTTATGTGAAGGGTCCGTTAACGGACCCAAATTTCTTCTAAACAGACCCCTGTTTATGCTCAGTTTTCCACCAACCAATACCAAGTAACTGGAATAGATATATTGTCTACAGTCAAAAATGCAATCAACTTAAGTTGCTATTGTACAAAACCTTAGTTACTTAATAAAATGAATAAAATATTTAATAAAATTTTGAATTGTTGCATTTACCTTCTTTGTACTTGATTTTATTTTTCCCTTGAGTCACTTGTCTATAAGTCTTGTGGTGTTCTTCATATGCTATTACACGGCCACGATTTGACCAACAATAATCATGAGTTCCAAAAAATTTCACCGGGAAATCACCGTCACTATGTGAGTAGTTCTTAATATTATCTGGAAGCTTAGATGGGTGTACTATCTGTGATGGCCACCAACTAAGCAAAAAAAACAATATATTCATTACGAACAAAAAATTAAAACATGAATACATTCAGATTTTATGAAACAAAAATAAAAATATTAGATCAAAACAATACTAATTATTACGCACCTTCAAGCATTGTTACTAGGTGATAAAAAAAAACATAAATTTTTTATAAATTATTATAAAACCTACATTTTTTGACGTAACTTTGAATTATATATTTTTTAAAAACATTACTTTTTAAATTTATGTTACAAATTTTAATTTATTCATTTTTGTTTATCACAGTTTTCATAACATGTTCTTTTAACATGTGCAATTTACCTAATACCGAAAGAGCTAAAAGTACATATTCAACAATTGCCAACCACTGTATACTCCCGTATATCACATATTTTATAGGAATAGCTATTCTGCAATGTAAAAAAGAACCTTTACAAGATTTTTAATGGGTGTAATATATCTCACTTCTATTTCTATATATATTTTCAAAATTTTAATTTTACCCTTTTTAAAAAGTTAAATTCAGTTCTTTAAATTCTTTATCAGTTGTAAAAAAATATGATTTTTTGATTACAATATTTCTTTTATTTTATATCCGATGTTGAACAGCCGACCCAATTTTTGGGTTTACGACTACTAATGTTCAACTCCATAGCCTTGTAATTTTGAACCCAATCCAGAAGACAAGGGAACTCCTGGATCAAGTATTAGGGAGAAATTTGCCTTTGTGGAGGACTTTTTGATGGAACTAACCTGCATTTGCGTTACACGGAGAGGAAAACCACGAGAACCTCCCATGGTTAGCCTGACAGCAAGGGGAACCCATGATCCGTCTACCACTGAGGATATTTCACGTAAGCACTGTGGTCAGTGTAAGCCGGACGCGGAATTTGTGACGACCAGCCATTGCTGGGATCGAACCCCTAATCACGTCAATGGAAGGCGAACGCTCTTTCCCCTGAGCCATTGCGGCTCTGATTGCATTATTTGAAAAAATTTACTAGCTTTGTTTAAAAATATTTTAAAAATTAATAATTTTTTTAGGAAAAAATCCTTTTTTTTTCTTTTTTTTTAGAAATAGCACTTGTTTGTTAATTATTTAGATTTATATATTTTTATTCATATCAAGGTTTACGAAGTTCATTAATAAGTTATTACATGGCATACCTGTCAACCTCAAAAGTAAAAAGATTATTCTTCAAAAATAGGAAAATTTTGTGCACAACAAGCAATTTGATAATTTAAGAACCTTAATAATATATCCTTAAATAATCTTTTGTTATCATTTTCCACAGGATATTAAGTAGAAAAAATATTTTTAAAACAGAATCTTCACTCAATGAATTTCAATTTTGCTGAAAGAAAGGTAAAGTGTAAAATTAGTTTTTTCTTCTTAAAATACTTTTAGCATTAGTTTTAGGTAATAAGGTAAAAAATATTTGAATTCATTTTTATAAATAAAATATTAATTAAACATCAAATGTTAATAATGAACGATTAACATTAATTAAATCAAATAATTAAAAGTAGAAATAGAATAAATTCAAAAAGCTGCATATGGATATGCAATGGACCAAATAAAATTCAAACAGAAAACAAAACTCCTATACAAATATGAAGATTATTTACAAAAAATTTTGAAACCTAAGCAACAAGAATGTTGTCAATTTAGAAGCTTAAATGCCAGCAAAACCAAAGAAAACTGGCGTTAATCAGAAAAAATCCATTTCACTCTTTGTTCCTCATACTTTGTAACTCTTTACCCTTTACAAAAGCTTCATGAAAAGTAATAATTCTCAAGAAATTTTTTAATCTTTACACATTGTGTGAAATTTTATGAAAATCATTTTTGACTGCAGATTTAAATGTCCATTCAATTCATATACAATAATACAATTTCATATTCAATAATATTTGAAATTATATCCATTGGGAACTACTGGATTTTCTGGTATTGAAAAGATGGTTTTACAAGGAAAAGGGGAAAAAAAAGGAAAATAGTGAAAAAGCGAGACAGAAGGGTTTGCTGATGTTAGTGTCATTTTTACATAAGATAAAGGATAATGTGATTCTCTTTATTTTTTGATTACAGAACTCTTAATTTTTACTTGAATTCTTAACTCTTACTTTAAATGTTAGATTGCGCTGAAAATTTCGTTTTATTAATAGGATTGATTCAGAAATCTGCAAACCAATGATCTTGAGATACATGGAATTTCGAGAAAAAGTTACATGCCCTGCTTTCAGTTTCCAGGCGTGTAGTGATGATACAAAACACCCGGAATACATTCACCCCTGAATGTGTGGCTGTTAGCGTTATATAGTATGACACAATTTATAGATTATAACAGATAAATGAACCTTTCAAAAAATATTTCACACCATAAAGGATAAACAAAAATAATATTTCTATGTCAAATCTTAACATTGATTTTTTTTTCAGCTGTTAATATAAATATTTATATTAAAAATGATTTTTTAAAAAAATTACAAACCTATGATTCCCCAACTTGCAAAATACTATCATGGAATAATAGAAATGACTCTTTTTTAAGCAATATTCACATAAGAATTTTCCTTCAGGCACATCGCCATCCAAGCAAGTTCTATGATATGCATTAGGGCAAGCATCACAACACACCAGATCACCCCCTGTAGAAAAATCAACAATTATTACACATACAAACAAACTTAAGTGAAAACAAAAGAAAAACAATATATTTCTAATTAAATAACATCATTATTATGATTACATAGTGCCCTGCGGCAGAATTTTTTCGGGTTTTCTGCAACAAACCACTCTAGTACTAATTCTTTTTGCAAGATACTTTTAAAAATAACAAATATGTATGTAACTAATTTAAAGAAACAAAAGCGGTGCCTTTGCAATAAAAACAAATATACTTATTAAAAATCGTAAAATCCGTAGTAGTAACTAACGAAAAAAAGACAGACGTTGAAATCATGCGCAAAGCACTCTTCAAAAAGGAGTTACTTAAATGTGTGTTTCGTTTAGAGAATCGGCTGTTATAATAAATGTAGTCTTCAGGGATGAGAGTAGTCAGAAAGTAAAAAAGAGGAAATCCAAGAATATATACCACAATCGCACTTTTTTGTCAAATTTTTGTTGATATCCCAGCAAAAACATAAGTTCTGGCCATCTTCGAAATTACTGACGATACTGATTGAAAAGTGAAGGTGCAAATTACTGTCAGCTGGGTTGATTGCTGGGCCACCCTATGAACTTTTGCCAACATTGTAGGAAGTGTTGGGCCTGTACATTACAAACAGCCGCATCCCGTCAGTCTGAATCTACCCAATGGGCCACCAAGTTAAAGTTGTCTGCTGCCGCTAGTGAAGCGGTCGAGCGAGTAACTGTAACTGTGAATTTATTGTTTAGAAAAAGAAGCACGTTGGATTCTTATAATTTTCAAAAAAGGTAAGGTTTTATTTTTTNGCGTGAATACGAATCGCTACACGGGGTTTTAAAAGCACGTAAATACAAATCGCGATATTGGTTTTTTAAATCTCGTAAATAAGAATCGCAATGCACAAATATTTAAATTGCCAGAATAAGAATCGCAACGTTCAACTTTTAAATCAGGTAAATACGAAAATCGATGCTTGATAATAAAAATCACGATTTTAAAAATGCATAACTACAAAACACGATATTGGATTTTTAAATCTCGTAAATACGAGTCATAATGTACAATATTTAAAAAGCGTAAATAAGAATTGCAATGTGCAACTTTTAAATACGAAAATCGATGATTGATATTAAACATATTTATTTATTTAGCATTTTTACATATTTCTACATATTTATTTAGCTAATTGAATTAAATAAAAATTAGGTTTGTGGGTTTTAATTACTCCTGTAACTAGGTCAATGACCTCTCGTAAACCTCNGAATGAGTAAATAAATATTTTCACTGCAAATCCACCTTTATTTTTTTTTTCTCTTTTTTTTTGTTTGCTTTCACTCCAGAATACAAGAAGCAGCGATGTCTGAATTACGAAAATACGAGCTATCCTGCCGACAGATAAAAAATACGGAAAATCTTATTTTCCATGCGTGAAATCGGAGAAAATAGCTAATATAAGTAAAAATGCGGAAGGGTTAGCAGCTAGGATGTAGTTTGAATTTTCTGTTTTTCTTCGAAATTCGTAAATAAATATAATTATTTTACTTCCATGACTGAATTTTCAAAAAAAAAGCGGGATATTTATAAAAAAAAATTTAAAAAAACAAAACTTTTAGAGAATTGGAGTTTTTGATAAAAAGGCTGAAATTCGAGAGACAAAAGCGAAAAAAATCTCATCCCTGTATAAAGGTCAACCAGTTTTATCCCAAGGAAATGATTTTTAGAGAAACTTCAGAGGGAGGAATGAGGACTTCAATAATTTCGTTTTGCGGAAAATTAAATTCCTCATAAAATATTTTAACTTGTGCAAAAAAAACAAAAAAAATTTCAGCGGAAATTAGCGGGAAAAATGGAAAAATATGAAAAAAAGCGGAAATCCGAGGAAGAATCTCATCCCCGAGTCTTAAAAATATTGGATTTTAAAAACTATGTGGAAATCAATCGCAATAACTGCCAAAAAAATTTATAGAATCTTGCATTAAAAAGTAAATACTCAAATGTGCGATTCGAATTTCTCATATTGTCTGAAGTATATAGGGATATTTAAAAGCCTTGTGAAAATTAATATCAACTTCAGAGATCATAAATTGAACGTATCAAAACGAGATTAGCTAAGTGCACTATTTAAATTTTATGTGTAGAAATAATAGAAACTAAAAAATAACCGCTATTTTAAAAATTTAAAATTTTATGAAAAGAGTCAGCATTTTTTAAAAAATTTAAGCATTCATAGCAGTCACATAAACGATTGAAACAATACAAGGATTAAAATAACTGAGAAATTAAAAAGTATCAGGATTTCAAAAACAAAAAGGAAATATTCGTAGTAAATAATTGCCAAAAAAAATTCATTACATACATTTACAATGCAATTAGCTTAAGTTTTGAGTGACAAAGTGAAGATTCAAATGCATAATTTAGAATCTTCATGTGCGTAATATATTAAAAATATTGATTGATTTTTCTTCAACCAAATTTTAAAAAAAGGGACTAATGTAACACATTGATTAATTAATTCTTTTGAAAACTCACTGGCATTTCTTTCCCTTCAATGCACGAGAAAGGAGTCTTTTGAATATAATTCTGCAGGAAAAAAACTCTTTCAAAAATTTATACAGAAAAGAAAACCAAAATTTTTTACTTCCCAAAGGAAAAATCTTTTTACATGAGCACTGTAATGTTCTATGACAATGTCGCCATAATTCTGTCACAGGGATATAGTGAAAGAGAATCTTAGACCAGAAAAATGCTTCTATAACTTTATCAACTAGCTCAGTGATTCTCAAAATGTGAGTCCCATTCCTCAGAGGAACATAATGTCCTATTTTATATTATTGAAAAATAAGTTAGTTAATTAAAAAACAGGTAAAAGAGTAACATAAACCGAAGAGCCATTACATTATGACCACACTGCTAATAACATGTAGGACCACCTTTAGCCCTCAAAACTGCTAGCACCTACCGTGGCATTGATTCCACAAGGTGCTGATAGGTAGTCTGAGGTATCTGGTACCAAGCGCTCACCAACTGGTCCTGCAATTCCCTCACATTTCGAGGGGCTAGCGAGGCAGCACGAATTTGGTTTTCCATGTAGGACCACAAATGCTCTATTGGATTAAGGTCAGGTGAATTTGGGGACCAAGTCATGACTTGAAAGTCAGTGGAATGTTCTTCGAACCAATCCATGACGATTCGACCCTTATGACATGGTGCATTATCATGTTGGTAAACACCATCCCCCGCAGGAAAAACTGCTGCCATGAATGGGTGAACCTGGTCTGCAACTATGTTCAAGTAGCTTACAGACGTCAGGGATTGTTCTATGAGGATTATGG